TTTCCAGGCCTTGGATCTCCAATGATTGAAATAATGGCAGACACTGCAGTAGCTTTGGCCTCAGCTAACGTCCAGCTAGTCTCCAAGAAAGTCATCGGTCGGATGTGCAGGGTAAGTCGTTGTTACCGAGGCTTGGAAATGAATGGGTGGGCGTTTGTTTTTTGTTGTTGTTGTTATATTTTGATAATGGATTTTTATAGAGATTAATTTGTAACTTATATTAAGGGTTAGTTTTTTATTTGGTATTTCATTCTCGCCGTCTTTATTATACACTGGCTACTCTCGCGCGGTTTCACCCGCTGCTCGGCTCCATTTAATCCTAGCGTAATATTTTATAGCCTATAGCATTCAGGAATATTGTAGCTATCTATCAGTGAAAGAATTTTGGCAATCCGACCAGCGGTTCCAAAGATTACCCCCTACATACAAACTTACAAATTTTACCTCTTTATGATATTAGTATAGACGACTAGTCTCTCTGAGACAACAGAAGAGATTATTTTACTGAAATTTCTTATTTATAAAGCTGTTCCGCACTAGCAATAAAATTTTCTCATATGCCATTCACAACACATAGTGTCACACGTTGTTTACCTTCACCGTATGTCAGTGGTGTCTTAATAATCTTAGAAAGTACGTATAACTCTGAAAAAGTCACATTGGCACTTGCCAGGTTGAGAAGCGGGCGCCGTAACATTGAGGCCACCACGACTCTATCGACACCCGACAGTTAAACTGTACTGATATTTTTTTTTTTTTTTGGTGTCGGGTGGGAAAATCCTCATGGAGACCCACCGCCCTCGGGGTAAGGGCGAAGGGTACTGTCAGACTCTTACTGACTAAAAACCAACCCGGTGTTCCTCCAATAACCCATGTGTCGGAGGGGCGGGTATCGCCGAAGCATTCGTCGCAACCCCCCGACGGGTATTGGCCCGCCAGATGGTAAGGCGGGCCCCGTCACCCACTGCGGCCGTCACCCCGACCGCAGGACTCCACTATGAGGCGCGCGCGGAACACGGCGCCGCCGCCTCGAGGCCTGCTGCTGGTCGGACGACTAGACGCCCCGAGTCTGTCGTCCGCAGGCCGCGCCCTACGGTGGCCGCAGGTCGGCCACTCTATGACGTCTAGTGCGTCTGCTGCGGGAGGGAAGAGAGGAGGCAGCCTCTCTCTCCCTTTCCGCCGCCTCCTTTGCGAGCATCACGGCCTCGCAAAAGATAGCGACGGCACTCCACCCTGACTCGCTCCCGACCATAGTAGACACTACAGCCGGAAGCGAGAGATTTCCCGCAGCACCTACGGCCGCGACCAGGTCACGGCGCTGCTCAAGCTGGACATTCCGCCAACATATGCAGCGCCGTATCGTCGCGACAATTACCACAATGGTGGCACTGAGACGTCGGCTCCCGGCCTATGCGACACAGGTACTTCCCGAAACACCCGTGTCCGGTAAGCACCTGCGTCAGCCGGAAGCTGAGGGCGCCGTGGCTCCTATTGAGCCACTCCTGTAGAATTGGCCTTACCGCCGCTATAGCGGCGTGCCCCGCCGTGGGTTGCGCTAAACGCGTCTGCCACTCCGCCACTAAGGCCTGGCGGAGTTCTGCCCTGCGTGCATCAACCTGTCGAGGCACCAGGCGCTCGCCCCGCTTGACTGCCTCCGCACGCCACCAATAGATGACGCGGGGAGCTTTGCGTCGAGTTATAATTGATTACCTGGAGTGTCCCTATATATCTGACGCTAACTGTACCTAAGCTATAAATTGAACTCTAAAAAATCCATTATCTGTAAAAATAAATACAATAGGATTTAAATTGTAATTTTGCATTAAATTTGTAAGAAATAAATGTTGTATTAGACATCATTAATGCATGATAGTGTTGCCATCAAAATCTGTATTGCTATCATTCAAAATTAAATCTTTTGACACTGTACTATTGTGGCTATGTGCGCGACGGTGGCGACGCGTAGCGTTTACAACATTTCAGGAAGCTGTCAAATAATAACAATATAAACATTATAATTTACTTTGCAAATATAAATAGAACCAAAGATTAAAATAGTATTGTTGACATTATTTAAGTGCAATTTATTCAATAGTTTTACTGCAAAATGAATATATAATAATAAAAACCGACAGCTGAACGTCCGCATTTGTTTCCAATTTCTGCCGTGTTGTGCGCTGCGGTCGTTATCTGTCCGCCACTACTCGCTTTGCACATAGCCAATAAGGTCCTAAGCAGATATGTTATATTAAAGGTTATGTTTCTTACTAGCTCTAGCCAGCAGCTTTGCCCCATATTATCAGAGTGAAAAGTAGCTCTAATGCGAACTTTTTGCGTTTAAAATTTATGTAGGAAACCTACTGTTTTATTTATTTTTACTCAATGTGTGAGAGAGTCGTGCTTCGGCACGAATGGGTCGGCTCGACCGGTATGATCTACGGCTTCTCAAAATACTGCCGTAAAACAACTACAGCGTTGTGTTGCGCCATGTGAGTTAGGTTCCCGGAAGCCCAATCCCTCCCCCTCACCAATTCTCAACCTTAAATATCCGAAACCCTTATCCCTATAAGGCTGGCAACGCACTCGTAACTCCTTTGGTGTTGCTGGTGTCTATGGGCGTGCCGATTGCTTACCATCAGGTAATTCCTATGCTCGTTTGCCCACCTATACCTTAAAAAATTAAATACTCAGTCCTGTTGGACTCTTTGGCCCTGCTTAGGAATGTAGCCTCGCTATGTCTCCTGCGTCCCTACCACGGGTAGTGCTCCACAGTGACCACACAGAAAGAAGACCCACTCGAAAATATTTTCATCCCCATCACACAGATGGTTGGTAGTCAACAACTGTGAGATTTTTTGCGAAACTAGTTTTTATCAACATACTGGGCAAAGCTGTGGGTGGGAGCGAGTGTGTTACACTACTACTGAAATCTCATGTTAAAAAAAAATATCTGCTCAAGACCTATTTAAATAAAACTAGTAGGTACTGACACTAAACAGATGACGTCTGAGAGGATGTTAGTCATAGTATGCAATTATAAATGTGGGAGAGCCATGCTTTGGCACGAATGGGCTCGACCGGAGTGATACCACGGCCTCACAGGGAACTGGCAGGAAATACCACTTACATTGTGCCTACCACCTATTGTTAACCAGAAATGTTATAAATCCCATGTTATATACAGCTCTCGCCAAACTTTGTGACCGCCCTGAATATAGTCGCGAGTCCGAATTTGCGCGTGGTACAGTCGAGTGGGCCATGCGTAATCAATCAAACCAATATTAGTATATACGTAATCAACCAGTATTAAAAATGTTATGAGCACATTCATTACGCGTACAGCCAAGGAGTGGAATTCCTTGCCGGAGTCGGTGCTTCCTGATAGTTACAATCCGGGTATCTTTAAGTCAAGAGTGAATAGGTTACTTTTAGGTAAGCGCGCTCCATCGTCAACCGCATCGTCGCTTTCCATCAGGTGAGATAGCAGTCAAGCGCGAACCTATAATCAATAAAAAAAAAATGTTAGAAAACGAAAATTGGTTGATAACGTATTGCTCACTCGAGTGTACTATGCGTAAGTTCGGACTCGCGACTACATTCAGGGCGGTCACAAAGTTTGGCGCGGGCTGTATTTGAGTTACCCTGTCTTTTATACATCGAACATAGTTATTTGAACAAAACACTTATTAACAGTTTGTCCGACAGTCGACAATAGTATCCAACTATACATTAATTACAAGTACTGTAACCGGTAATAAATATAGCATTTTTTGATGAGATTAACTCATAATTTGACATCTCCCGCCCAGGGTGCGACGGGAGGGAGTTTTAGACACAACCTGGACTTAAATGCTCAAAACCTTCTCCGTGTGTGAAGAAGCCTTTGCTCAGCATTGGACATTTTTAAGATGATGATGAATCGATGATCTCTTTTTTTAATATTTATCACCGGATACTGTACTGTAACTGAAAAATTTGACAATTGAAAAATTGCAACTACTTATAAAGAAAGTCTTTAATCTGTGTCACATCTCCATAATTAAATTTATTGAAAATTAGCGACCTGACCCGGCTTCGCCAGGTGCAATGCTCATACAAAATTTCTCCACTATGGAAAAGATGTTATTATACATTTACCTTTCTCTTCAATCACTCTATCTATACTCGAAATTTTAATTCCATTCCAGATTTGACAATTTCAGTGTTGCAACGTTATGACACGTACTAAATAGTGACGTTGCGAAATTATTCGATATGGAAATCGAATATTTCTGAATCGATTCCTCTCGTTTATAAATTTACTCTCATCATGTAGGAACATGACAAATAAAACAGACATTTTATTAATTGTCTGTCGCTATCGCTGTTACTTTCTGTAACATTTATTATGAATTGTGTCTGTGATATTTATTGTCAATTAACATATCTAGCTTACTCATTTTTCCTCTTCTTTGACAACATGAGATACGCATTTTAAACCATTCGGTAGCCGTAATTTTTTGAATGCCTTCCTGAAACTGATTCACTGATTGTTTATCGATTTTTGTGTTCATCACTACACTGTTTTATGTGGTATCATTATTTCACATAATGACAGTAGGTCATGTCAAATCAGGAATCGAATTAGAATTCTGACTATAGTTCAAAAACGCATCAAAATCCGTTGCGTAGTTTTAAAGATTTGAGCATACATAGTGATATAGGGACAGAGAAAGCTACTTTGTTTTATACTATGCTGTGATGAAAAGACTGAGAAAACAGCTTTTATCAGAGTCGTTATTTTTCAATAAATTTAATATGACTTGATTTACTATGAATTTAACATATATATATATATATATATATATATATATATATATATATATATATATATATATATATATATATATATATATATATATATAGTTACTATACAAGAATCTTCATTATTATATGTTTTGTGTATATATATGTATAGTGTTAAGTAAATACATAGTATGTTATATGTTGTCTCTGTCACAGGCCCTATCCAAACTGCCCAATAATATCCTGGGTCCCGTCACCCCGGCCACTGTGAGTTTTTTTTTTAATTTAATTAAGACAATTTTTATTTTGTTTTTAATTTTAGTTTCTTTTATTTATAGTTTTAGTTTCTTGGTTTTTTAGTGTGACGGTTTTTGTGCACTTTTTTGTTTTTATTTTTTAGTTTTGCTTTTTGGCGAGTTTTGTTTTTTTTAGAAAGATACTTAATATAGTTTGTTATTGGAAGTGGTCGACTGTGTAGGTAGGTATTTTATAAGTAAATTGATATTCTAGTTATGTTATTAATCCTATTTCGAATAATGACAAATATGGCTAATGCTAAAGTCTAGTATGAATGGATTCCTTGATTTTTACTAAGAATTTCAAATTGAAAATTTTACTAGTATTGACTCTCTTCTATCAAATTGTGTACCTTTAGTTAGGCAGCCGCCCTTCCGGTCTCACTTGAGCGTCATTTACAAATTACTTAGATTTTTCTAGAATATCATAAAAGTTAAAGAAAACTTAGCGCTTATTTTAAATAAGAATTTACTCTAAGTTTAATTTAAAGTAAAGTTTGTATGTTTATTTATTGCCCACACTACAAATCTTGGAAAAACTGTAACCTACAGCCAAACGCCAGGGCGAGATTGTACTCCTTTTAAAAGTCTGACAACGCACTTGCAACGGCTCTGGTGTAGCGGGTGTAGCGGGCGGTGGTGATAGCTAACCTAGCTAGCCACAGCATCCGTCAGCTCTTTTACCTAAAATAATGCCGCCAAACAATATTTTTTTTGCATTTATTTTGATTTTTAAAACAACAATTGGCCGTAAAAAATCCAAAATTCCAAATTCCTTGTGTTCTTTCATTATTTTTAGAGTGTTTTTAGTGATTTTTTTGATTATTTTTCAAACATCAGTCAAATTTTAGTTGTTGTTGGTTGTTAATGTGTTTCGTTGTTCATTTGCGCTATCGATAGAATTAGAATTAGAAATGCGAGCGATCTACATATAGTATATTCTTTTTTTGAAATAAGGATGATGACGTTATTCTTTTAAATGAAGTAGAAATATTCTCTTTAATCTGTATTTTACAAAATAAATACCTAATAGAATATTAATGAACATTCGTATTTTTTTTCATTGAAAAAATTTTTTTACATTGCTACATGTCAGTAGACATACCTTTTATTTAAACTAGTAAAATCCTTAAAGTCATATTATTAAGACTACTTGATTGCTACAAATAAATCCGATTTGATAAATAAACATTTCGTTATCATCCCTATTTCACATTTAAAATGCAATATTTCAAAACGAAGTTGTTATTTTATTACTGGTAAAAGTTCCCGGAGTTGTCGTTATTTCCTCAACAGATGTCGCTAATCTACAAAGCGTTTGTCCAATCACCGTAGCTGTCAAAAATTCAACAACCAATAGTGTAACACTAGCTAATTGCTTATTGGACAATATGACTAAAGATTCGCACTAGCGCCATCTGTACAGCGAAAAACGATATTCTCCATTCAGAAAGTGTTTATTAAGATAAATCTTGGTAGGTATTTTTTGAACTAAAAAAATATAGAATTACTGTCTGTTGTAATAAAATTGAATCATGAAATATTTTCCTTTAATAAAATAACATCTTGAACTAAATTCCCATACAGAATGAAAATACTCTGCGAATGATTTAGAATGCATATAAAACGAAATAAAATATAAATAATGTAATATTTTTAAATAAAATTTCAGGTCGTTGATAAAACTTGTCATTCACCGACCGCCATGTTGGAACAACACATGATGTGGGACGACATCGCTATACTGGCGAGATATTTGGTAAGTCGACGATAATATAGTTTAAAATTGGGTAAGCAGAGATGTTTTTTAAGTTGTACTTTTACAGTTTGAACAATATTATAAGTCAGTGGATGGTAGACGTTTTATTTTTTGGAGTGGTTCAATCAAGTCGCTTGCTTGCCGGCTTTCCGCCCTGAGTGGGACAAAAAAGAGTGTCAGATTCCTACTGACTAAAAAAGGAACAGAGTGGTCATTCCTTTTTTGCTCCACGGTATATTATTAAGCTAGACATGCAATCATCATCATTAATCGTGATGATACTCGCCCTAGATGGAGTGAGATAAAGTTTCAGATTCTTACTGACTAAAGACCGTTACTTCTACGCCGGCTCGAAGCCGTGGTACATTATAACGCTTGATACGCTATCATGTTTTGTTATTCGATATAAGTTACTTTAAAAAACATTGAGATATGTATTTTACAATTATTATATACCTGATGTTGACAAATGGGTGAGAACAGACCACAAAGAATAAAGCCACTACTCGAAACACAGAAGCTGCAAGAGGTTAAAAAATGAACTGCTTGCCTACTACTAAGGAAGTTTTTTTGCAGAGCAAGAAATGCCTTATTGACTTCGCCCACCATTCACCATTGGTGGGGCGAGAGAGAGTGTCAGACTCTTAAAAACCACCCTGTTTTTCCTGCTCCAGCTCGGAGCCGCGGGCAATTCTAACAATATTCTGTCGTCAGATTCGTAATAACTAAATTTTATTTCCAGCTGATGTTATCCTTCAACAACTGCCTGGACGTGGCCCGCCACCTGCCCTACCTGTTCCACACGGTGACCTTCCTGGTGTGCTCAGGAACTGTCTCCATGCGCGCCGCCACTCACGGGCTGGTCATCAACATCATACACTCGCTTTGTACCTGCACTACGCCTAGCTTTTCAGGTTAGTGGAAGTTTCTTTTATCCATACTAATATTATAAAATAAAAATAAAAATAATATGGTAAAATTTGTAAGTTTGTATGTAGGGGGTAATCTTTGGGACCGCTGGTCGGATTGCCAAAATTCTTTCACTGATAGATAGCTACAATGTTCCTGAGTGCTATAAAACATTACGCTACGATTAAATGGAGCCATGCAGCGCGTGAAACCGCGCGAGAGAACTAGTAGGTAATATTATAAAGCTGCAGAGTTTGTTTGTTTGGACGCGCTTATCTCCGAAAGTACTGGTTGGAATTGAATATTTCTTTTCGTGTTTGTTAGTACATTTATCGAGGCAGGCTATAGGCTATAAAACATCACGCTATGATCTTTAGAAGTTAAGCAGCAGGTGAAACCGCGCAAGAGTAGCTATAAGTAGTATAGATAGTAAGTACCTGATGGTAAGCAAAGATATTTGTATGAGCAGTAACACCTGCTAGACAATAAAAAGTAGCTTGCGTTGTGTGCTTAAGAATACCGGAGACCCAATCTTTCCCCTCTCGTCGCCAAATTCCCCAATCCTCCAAAAGGCCAATAACGCACTTGTAATTCCATGATGTGACGTCTATCCATGGGCAGCGCCGATTAATTACCTGATGGTAATTAATCGCAAGCAGAAAGTCGCCTGATAGGCGCCTAGTAGGTCAGCAAACGAGCTGACGGATTTCCTGACGGTAAGCAATCAGCGCCGCCCATGGACACCCGTTTCCAACCTTTTAGGGATAAGGAATTTGGAGATTAAGGGTTTGAGGAGGGATTGGAGGAGGGAAAGAATTAAGCCTCCGGAAACCTCACTCACACGGTGAAACACAACGCTGTGGTTGTTTCACGCCGGTTTTCTGTGAGGCCGTGGTATCACTCCGATCGCGCTGACCCATTCGTGCCGAAGCATGGCTCTCCCACACTTCACACAACTCTTCATTATCTACTTATTATTACTCATACAAACTATCTTTGAAATTAGGGTTTTGGAGGTTTCTGGATTTGGGTGGGATACAGTGAGCTGGCGATAGAGCAGGCAGATTACCTGATTGTAAGTAATCGGTTACAATGTACACCTGTAACAATAAAACAGTAACGAATGCGTTCCGGTCTTCTTGGGATTAGGATTTTGGAGATTTAGAAGGATGGGGCCTCCGATAACCTCACTCACATGGAGTTTCTTTTCCAGAGGATACCCAACGCGTCCTAAGGCTGTCCTTGGACGAATTCGCTCTGCCCAAGTTCTACCAGATGTTTGGAATATCGAAGGTCAAGTCAGCAGCCGTCACTGCCTTCCGGAGTCCTTACAACAGGCATACTAATGATTGGTAAGTGGAAAGTCAATGATGATGATGATAATAGCATATCCTAAAGGATTAGCAAACTGAAGTGGCAGTGGGCAGGTCACATTTGTCGAAGAACCGATGACCGTTGGGGTAGACGTGTTCTAGAGTGGAGACCACGTCTAGGCAAACGTAGTGTAGGGCGCCCTCCAGCTAGGTGGACTGACGACATCCGCAGGGTGGCTGGTAGTGAGTGGTTGGATGAGAAGAGCGGAACATCGAGCTCAGTGGCGTGACTTTGGGGAGGCTTATGTCCAGCAGTTGCGGAATCAGGCTGATGATGATGATGATGATGATGAGGTGGTTAACTCAATAAAAGATAGCTTTTTCCTCTTTTCCTCCTCGCCGATGAAAAATTTATTCGTCACTATTGACTCGCACCGGATTCGCTCGGATACAAATCTAATACTAAATTTCTCCACTATCTAAGTGATCTTGTTAACCATATAAACCTTCTTTTAACCACTCTATCTTTAAAAGACCCGCATCAAAAACTCGTTGCGTAGTTTTAAAGGTTTAAGCATACATAGAGATATAGGGACAGAGAAAGCGACTTTGTTTAATACTCCCTATTTAGTAATAAATGATTTTGACGTTGACTTTGAAACAGGCTATTAAATCTCATAGGTACTCAGAGCACTCATATGCCACGTGCTCAGAATCAACCAGTACGGGAACGTGCGCGGGCGCAACCCACACGGACCGCGAGAGACTCCCGCTACAGTCGCTTGAGATCATCACGGACGCTCTGCTCGAAATCATGGAGGCCTGCATGCGGGATATACCTGATTGTGATTGGCTGCAGACTTGGTAAGTTTTTGGCACAATTACTATTAAAATTTTTGAAATTATAGGTAAAAGAAATTTCGGTACCTATCTTAGATGTTCCTTTTTGTTTGAAGGCTATTCATATTAGTGTGGAAGAGACATGTTTCGGTAGGTATGGGCCTTACGTTATGTTTCGCCGTGTCCGTGAGCCTCCATCACTCCCCATTCCGTGAATCCCCAAAAGCCCTTACCCCCATAATGCTGGCAATGAAGTCGCAACTCCTCTGGTTTTGCGGATAGGTGTCCTTAGGCGGTGCTGATTACTTACCATCAGGTAATCCGTTTGCTCGATTGGCCTTTTTGGGAGATTTAGGGATTGTGGAGAGATGGGAAGCATTAGGTCTCCGCTAATCGCACTAACTCACAACGCTGTGGTTGGTTGGTTTCACACCAGTTTTCTATGAGGCCGTGGTATAACTCCGGTCGAGCTGAGCCGAGGAAAATCATCAAATGACTTCTCCCGCCCAGGGCCGGGCGGAAGGGAGTGTCAGACTCTTACTGACTAAAAACCCCCCTGTTCCTTCTCCTGCTCTGGGCAGATGTCGCGGTGCCTCATTACGCTTACCCCGCAACTCCGGCTGAACATCAGCCCTATAGGGCCCCGTCTGTGGTGGTCTATTGGCTCTTCGAGGCGCGCGCGGTACGCTACGCGCCGTGTGGCTGGGGCGTGAGAAGGAGGATTGCTCCCTCACGCCGGCCGCCTCCCTCTTTGCGAGCATAACTGCTTCACAGAAGGAGGAGACGGCGTCCCAGTTCCTCTCACTCCGCACCATGGCCTCGACTAAGGCCGGGCGCGAGAGCCGAGGCATGGTTCTCTCATACTGGTTAAGCTTAAACATTTTTTTTCTTTGTTGTATTTAATGCGTAGCGTGTGAGTGAGATTAGCAAAAGCCCAATCTCCAAATCCTTAATCCCTAAAAGGCCAGTGACTCACTTGATGACCCATTCGTGCCGAAGCATGACTCTCCCACACTTAGGGGTTTAAGACGACGCTTTATTCAATGAAGCTCGACTTGAAAAAATGTTTTCTTATCTTTACAGGACATCTCTGGCGAAAAGCTTTGCGTTTTGTTTCAACCCAGCTCTTCAGCCGAGAGCTCTGATCGTCTTCGGGTGTATCAGTAAGTTTTATAATTACGTTACAAATAAACTTGCCAATATTAATATTGATGACGACCATGTTTTTCTTAATGTCCGTCTTTGATATTTTTTTTTGCAACTTGCGTTTTCAATTTTTACCGCTATCTCGCCTGGTAGTAAGCGGTAATGCGACTGTGTCAAATTTCATCCAGATCCGTCCAGACGTTTTGGCATAAATGAGTTACAAATTTTCGGGATGGCCCTGAGGTTAATGCGCCCGCTTCTCATGCATAAGGGTGCTGCTTCGAAACCTGGCTTCTATGGTTACTTAGACACCACTGACATACGGTGAAGGTAAACATCGTGAGGAAACCTGGACTCATAATTTCTAATTATAAGTTTGAAATCGCCAATCCGCATTGAGCAAGCATTAATGCTCAAACCTTCTCCGTGTGAGAAGAGGTCTTTGCTCGGCAGTTGGGAACTTATAGGCTGATGATGATGATGATGATGAGTGACGAACATCCAAACATTGTACCTTACGCATTTATAATATTAGTAAGGTTATCTGACTGACATATTCCATTTTTCATACCCACCTTTATAATATCGATATTCTATAAAATATTAATTAATATTCAGGTAAGAATGTGACAGACGACGATATGAAACAATTGCTTCGTATATTGGTGAAGGCGCTGGAGTCATTCAATGATCTAGCGTTACTGGAAGCTCTCATCATGGCGTTGACTAGGCTCCAACCTTTGTTATACCCGGTAAGTGCTTATCTTCATAGGACGGCAGACAAGCAGACGGATTACCTGATGGTAAGCAATCGGCATCGCTCATGGACAGAAGAAAATGGGAGTTCAAATCCACCGCGTTCGGGAGCAAATTGGAGCCCCACCATATTAGACGACTCCCGAGCGTACGGCGCGTAGCGTTCCGCGCGCGCCTCAAAGAGCCAATAGACCACCACAGACGGGGCCCTATAGGGCTGATGTTCAGCCGGGGTGGAGGGGTAAGCGCAATGAGGCACCGCGACTTCGGCCCAGAGCAGGAGAAGGAACAGGGGGTTTTTAGTCAGTAAGAGTCTGACACTCCCTCCTGCCCGGCCCTGGGCGGGAGAAGTAATTTGATGATTTTCCCTCACAAAAAAAAACATATTAGACGACACGACAGAAATCTGTTTGTATCACTCTGCGACCGCCTAAAATGCGTCCATAAAAACCATTGCGTAACGTGAAATCATTGCGTTGACCTTGCCCAACAGGCCTCACCAATCCACAAGGCCTTGTTCTGGGTGGCCTTATCAGTGCTGCAGCTGGACGAGCCGACCCTGTACGCGGCCGGCCTCGCCTTTATGGAACAAAATCTACACACGTTGGAGTCTCAAGGACAATTCCAGCATAAGGTATGTTTATGTAGAATTTTGATGAGGTTTATAATATTTTGCATAGTCTTAATTACGAGCTTTTTATTAAACCCCGACTCAAAAAGAGGGATGTTATAAGTTTGACGTGTCTGTCTGTCTGTGGCATCCTGAACGGGTGAAGCGATTTCAATTTAGTTTTTTTTGTATTAAAGGTGACTTACGTGCGAGTGTTCTTAGACATGTCTGACAAAAATCGGTTGCCAAGCCGTTTAGAAGTTATGGGGTTAGTGTGGAAGGGTAACCGAAGGTCTGCAAATATACTCGAGTGAAATATAGTCAAATGAAAGCGCACTGAAAGGGAATGTTGATGACTTAACCGAGAGAAAATGATATAAAATACCTATAAAAAGTATAAAAATAAATTAGACTCCCGACAAAAGGAATTTTAGATTTTTTGTGGGGTTTTTTTAATTGTAAATAATTATATACTTTTATGGTTATACGCCTGTAAACGTTCTGTGGCCGTGGTGGCCCCAAGGTTGCGGCGTCCGCTTCTCTTGCATGAGGTTTCGAAACCTAGCAACTACCAATGTGTCTTTTTCCGAGTTATATGTACTTTCTATGATTATTTAGACACCACTGACATACGGTGAAGGAAACATCGTGAAGAAACCTGGACTTATTATTTGTAATTACAAGTTTGAAATCGCTAATCCGTCTAGAGCAAGTGTGGTGATTAATGCTCAAATCTTCTCCTTTAAGAAGAGCCCTTTTGCTCAGCAGTGGACACTTACAGGCTGATGTCTTTTTGATATTTTTTATGGTTTATCGCCTGCAAACGTGCTAACGGATAACCTCATGGTAGGCAATCCGCACCGTCCATGAAAACTCGCAGCAATAGAGGGGATTCAAGGATTGGAGAGGTATGGGTAGGATAAAGGATAGGGCCTTTAGTAACCTCACTCATACGGCAAAACACAATGCTGTGATTGTTTTACACCCGGTTTTCGAAAGGCCGATCAATGTTAAAATCAATTTAATCTCTTGTCAAGTCATCTGATTGGTTGTTGATAAATCAGTCAACCAATCAGATGACTTGACAAGAGATTTAACAGGAGATTAGTTATTTTGAGCGTTAACAAGCCTTTCAGAAACCGGGTGATACACCGGTTTTCTATGAGGCTGTGGATTAGTCCAGTCGAGCCGACCCTTTCGTGCCACGTCATATTTATCTCTCCCACACTTTAAAATGAACAGTCCGATTACTAAATCAAAGAAACATAGGGGTTCAAAAATGGTTTTCTGTGCGTTATCCTTTATCTATTTATCTATATCTTTATATATAAAAATGGATCGCAAAATGTGTTGGTAAGCGCATAACTCAACAACGCCTGGACCAATTTTGCTAATTCTTTTTTTGTTGTGTTTGTTATTGTCAGGAGAAGGTTCTTATCAAAGAAAATATTAGAAAAGTAGAGGGGAAGATTAGGAAAAAGTGACCCTTTGATAGCGAGATAGTTGGACCCGCGCGAAGCGGGGGCGGGCCGCTAGTTTATAAGTCATTAATTACTATTATAAGAAGTGTTAAAAACTAAATAGGGATTGCAGGGTTTGCCCGGATGACCGACCTTTGCTCGGTCTTTTCGTCTGACTCACTCAATTCAATTACAACATGTAGCCTCATTATGACTTCTCTTCTTCCTAGACCCTGGAACAGGTGATGATGGAAACCAGAGAACCTCTGGAGTGGCACTTCAAGCAGATGGACCATGCTGTGGGACTCAGGTGAGGAATCTAATAATGTAACCAAGAAATTGATTTAAACAAGAGTAATTGTGGAGTTTTTTGCTCGTTCTTCTTCAAAGGAATTCTACATTTTGGACCACGCAAATAGCTTCACTAGGGTACTGACGGACAGACTGTTATGTTTTTTCTTTATATGTTCTATTTGAA